GATAGTGCCATATCTGGAGAATATGGTGGGTGGGGGATAACTTCCCAACCTAACTCCATAAACATGCCACATGTGGGCGTGCATTGTCGTGGAGATGAACACCTTTCCTATTGACGAGTGAAGGACTTGATTTAAACGTTCCAGTTACTGACTATAAGCCTATGCATTGGCAGTTCGCTGTGGATTGAAGAGTTTGAAATGAATTACTCCTTTGATGTCCCAGCAAATGCAAAGCATCACTTTTTGTGGATGGCGTCCTGGTTTTGTGGTCGGAAGTGGTTTTTGTCTAGGACTGAGCCATTGCTTTTGGCGTTTAATATTTGAATTTTTCACCACCAGTTTCTTTTAAAAATATAGAAGAATAAAAGTTTTATAACAATCGTTTACGGAATAAAACATAAATTCTTTTTCAGCCCTCAATTTACCAATCACTCTCTCAGGTAGCCAAATTATTCAACGTACTTTGAAATTCAAAATCAAAGACAATATATAGAAACTTACACAAACACAGTATCTATTTGGTTTTGATGTAAAATTAAAACCTTCAATTCTACACTGTATTGTTTGAAGTATGAAATATTCCTTTATTTTTTCTCTACATAATACCTATAATTATATCTTCTTTATGCTTGTTATATCGAAGCTATCGATTTGTCTATATAACATTCAAAATCTCTCTGTTTATTTGTTTTTTGCTTTCTTGCTTGTTTTTCCGCCGCGTTCACTGCGCAGGACACACTTTCCACACGTGATGGTGCGCAAAACGACAATTTTCTGGTGATATATGCGTCTATCATCTGCTAACCAAACCAGTAGTTATATCGTTAACATATACATTACACGAATAATTACTTAAAGTTTCGAGTAATTTCATATTTTTATATTATGTTAATCAATACACTGTCAGTTTTTTGTTTCACGCGGACTTGACAGTTTTTGGTAGGTTTAAGTTAACATTTAATTTATAATATAGCATTAGAATAGATAGGTCTATTTAGTTATAGACCATTAATTATAGATCTACTAAAACATAATATATTTAACTAGATCTATTAAAACATAATATGTTTAACTAGATCTATTAAAACATAATATGTTTAACCTCACACACAAGAGAAATATTTGCAGAACGAGAACGTTGTGTATGAAAAAGCAAAAGTAGGCCTAGCCTATAAAATAAAATTATGCCAGTGAAAGAAAAACAGAAAAACAATGTTCATAAGGAAGCTGTGATCTAAAACAGTTTCATAGTTTATTTCAAAAATTCAAACCCAAAGTTATAGGATTTTCATAAATCCTCAAAATATAGTGTTGCGTCAGCAAGGTCACGTGACTAGTATCACGCCACCTGTTTCTAGAAATATCCTGTTCCTTCAAGAATGCCCTAGCATTTACTAGATATGTGTTATTCTTGTATATATAAGACGTTCACAACGTGAAGGAACAACAAGGTAGTGAGTAATTTAACTGCAGTCATAGAGTGTGTAATTGAATAATGTATTGTTGAAGTCGAGCACTTGAGACATTTGTTATAGCGCGACTGTTGAAATTAAGTGTATCGTAAAGTTGTATTCGGAAAGAATAAACCAGTTTTATTTCAGAAAGGACTGGTGTCGCTAAAGTTTCGTCGGAACGAATTTACGGAAAATTAACTAACGACTGGATGCGTAACGATATTTTGCTTTCGAAATATGGAACCGTGAAACAGAGAGAGTAGGGTTATTTTTTCTTCGAAAATCTGGACAACGCCGGATAACGATGCTAGTATTCTATATTAATCATAATTCTATGTATTTATTAACTTTAATAGCAGATGTCAATTAGTGTTACGACTGTTGATACCTATTTTAAACAGAGTTTTATTGCCCAGTACATTGTTGCCGAGTGCAATGTTGCCCGATGAAGGCTCTGGTAAGAGGGCCGAAAGCTCGTAAATAAAAAAAAGTATTTTAAGGTAGAGAAAAGTCCGCGTATAATAAAAAATAATACCCAGGTGCACACCCTCAGTATTCCCTTAGTATTTGTGCAAAGTTTCAGGTCTCTAGATTCTTTCCTCTTGGAGCTATAGTGCCAACTGACTGACACATAAATACATAGGCTGTTTTATTAGCATAGATTTTTTTTGACAACTTCTGTGAGATAACAGCAAAATAATTTATGAACATAAATAAAATCACGACATATACTCCATAATGTATCTTTATTAGCTCAATATTTCGCTATTACAGCTTCGTCAGGACCTATTGTTCCCTATCCAGTTAAATCTAAATTGGAACACTGTCATTCTTAAAGCGAACACTGTAAGTGTAATGAGGAATTCGCCTTACACCGTTGGTTTCTTATCCAAGGCTTTTTATTCTAAATGTAATGAGGAATTCACCTTACACCGTTGGTTTCTTATAGATATCATAGTTCCTAGTGAACTCCTATTCTCTATTTGTTGTACAAATTTCCGTAGGTATTTACAACTGAAGTGAACAGTTCACATCAAATAGTTGTTCGATGTCGTTTTTTAAAGATGTAGGAAATGTAAAATGCTAAAGAACAGATGCACTTACCAGATTAATTTTTTCATCCAAAGCTCTGAAGAATTCTATTTGACTTGGTGTTCGTTTACTGCAAGCAGAAAAAAAAAGAGTGCTAATAAGTGTTTAATGTGTCAATAAACTTAATTAAAGCTAAATACACAACTTTGCCGTAAACCTACTCAGTGATAAATACACAACTTGTCAGCAAACCTACTCAGTGAGAAATACACAACTTTTTAGTAGACCTACTCAGTACTATATATACAAAGTTTCAGTAAACCCACTTACTCAATCTAAACTTTGTTTTTCATGCTAAGATACAAACATTTAAGATATTAAACATTACAAACATGCGTATTTTTACTTTGAATTACCGAGAAAGAGTAGAAGCAATATGAATAATGTTGAAACCCGTGTGTCTCAAAATCAAGCAATATAAGTTTATACATACTTTTCATATTTAATACTTTCTGAAGAACTTTAACACTTTTTTATATACGTTTAGTGTGAAACACACTGAAAACAAAACATCAGCAAGAACATTAAAAACAAAATAATTTGATTTTGTTACTCACACCTGAGCCCTCAGCGGTCCAGACAGTGTCCGGTCACTCTTGTCCTTGAGTTCAGGTTTGACATTACGGTTCGCCCTCATTGTCTAAACAAAAAACCTACCAATAGATTAATGGTACAGAACAAGATATTATACAAGTCAATGACGTAAAACCTACCAATAAATTAATAGTACAGAACAGGGTATTATACAGATCAATGACGTAAACTTACCAACAGATTAATGTTACAGAACAAGACATTATACAGTTGAATGACGTAAAACATACCAATAGATTAATGTTACAGAACAGGACATTATACAAGTCAATGACGTATAACCTACCACTAAAGTAACAGTACAGAACAATGTATTATACAGGTCAGTGACGTAATACATTAAATCATAATTCATTGTGAGAAATATCTTCGGACACCACAGCTTTTCGGAATTGAAACTAAACTAATAGATATGAATCAACCTTAATGTCGATTCAACAACCTTGGACTAAACTTAGTAAATAAAACATAAATATTTACTCACTTTAAATCAAACATATAGACCATTATATGTCTGTCATCTTTACATCTTTTTAATTGGGAATTTAAAAAAGTGCCAGCAAAATCATGTATAAAAGTATAACAGTTATTTATTTCTAATAAGTTGCAACATGACTTGAGAATAACCTCACCTACACTTGTCAACAAGTATAAAACGTTCTGTAAATACACTTGTCAATATGAATCGAACGTTCGGTAGTCTACATTTGTCAACAAGTATAAAACGTTCTGTAAATACACTTGTCAATATGAATCGAACGTTCGGTAGTCTACATTTGTCAACAAGTATAAAACGTTCTGTAACCTAAACAGTTCGATATTTTAAAGGAAATACCCATAATACACATAATATAATGACATCGAAAGGTCGGTTTTTGAAGTAGATAGTTTATTAGAAAGACCTAAAAGACGTGTAACTAAAACCTGAAATGTTCTTTGTATAAATACTGTTACGTCTCTGTTCGTTTGTTAATTTCCAGTATAAATTCTTTCCGAGGAACTTCAGCGATACAAGTCCTTTCTTAAATAAAACTATTTTATTCTTTCTCGATACAACTTTGCAATACACAGAATTTCCACAGTCACTTTAACTTAACTACTTTTATAAACACACGGTATAATTCACAGCGATTCACACACTTTAATTACGGTGCCTACTGTTCGCTCGACTCATTTATCTATCTCTATATCTATCTATGCAATTCTATGTTTTTTCGCTGGCTTTATTTGCCGGGCTTATGTACTAAAAAAGAGGGTGCTTGGAACAAACTAGAGTTGCCAGGAAAATTCACGATCCTTCGAGAAACTCCGTAAAGACTAACAACGTAGAGTATTTATTACCGTAATTTCCCCGTTTTTTGCTTCTGTTTTCCGTGAATACTTAGGATGTAGGCGGGAGACGCCTATGTGTGTAAGCACCTTCTCTCCTGTGAAAAACAAAAATATTGAAAACATTAGCAGAAATACTATCCAGGTCTATAAGGTTTTATATATGCATTAATCTGTTAAAGCATATTAATTTAACAATTTTCAGAAAAATATTTAGAAAATTCCATTATTTTTTAAAAGCAAAATGATTTTTCCTGCTCAATTTAAAAGTAGATCAATTTATTCATTCAAAGATGAGAAATTTCTTATTGTATGTGTATGTCCCCATGAAGCTGGTGAAAAACACGTTTGTCGTTAAACCAGATACACACTTCTGTAAGTAAAAATATCCCCTACACTAAGATACTTAGTGGAATGTTCCCTCACTCCTTTTGTACAGTAGCTCCAAGTTTAGAGAAACTGCTGGCTTTGTCCATCCAATTTTTCATGCGAAACTCTGAAACGTCTCACAACAGTTTATTTAAACTCATGGTGGAACTGTCCAAGTCATATTCTGGATTTTAGTTGCTGGACAAACAATGTTGTACGGCTAGATGCATTTTCATGTTGAATTGAGGAAAAACAAGACAATTGTAGGCTTCACAAATACATTATTTATTACGACCATGATTTTGCCAGTAAAGGCATCATCCGGTACTGGCGAAACCGTGGTCGTGAATAAATGATACATTTATGAAACATACAACTATCTTGTTTTTCCTCAATTCTGTAATTATGGAGTTTCACTAAGTACTGACGGTTTCAAGTATCAAGTATCATATTGAAGGGAAATGTTCCTTATTGTTGTTGTTTTTTTCATCTAGAGATCATAGGCACTACATCATTGCCCAGAGTGTCACAGTGTAACAACGGCGTCATGGTTCGTTTAATTACTACAGACAGACCAACACCAAGCCAGCTGAACTAGACCTACATTATTATACTAGAAAAAGTTTTTCGTTGTACAAAACCTGAAGATAGCTTTGATATACGGAAACATCTGTTAGCTGAGTTCTTGCACAGATCTTAAAATATAACGTTCATAAATGGCTCATGTTGATACGTAGATCTTGAAAGTCGAGTTGTTCAAAACTTGAAAATAGCGTTGATAACTGGATCAATTGTTGGTTGAGATGTTGCAAAGGAAATATCTGCTGACCAACAACAGAACGTGCATTTTTGAAT